CGATAAGAAAATTGAAATTATCGGATCAATTATGATTCAGAAGTATCGAACGATTCAAAGTAAAATTGAAATCATTGAATCAATTATGAATGAGAAGTATTGAACTGATTATTGGATCAATTTTTTGAAAAGTTATGAATCAGAAGTATCGAACTGATTCGATGAGAAAATTGAAATTATAGGATCAATTTTGAAAAGTTATGAATCAAAAGTATCGAACTGATTCGATAAGAAAATTGAAATTATCGGATCAATTATGAATCAGAAGTATTGAACTGATTCAAAGTAAAATTAAAATTATTAGATCAATTTTTTTTGTTTGAAAATAATAAATCGGAGTTATCAGACTAATTTAAAATATCATGTGTTTCAGAAAGCGTAATGTGTAGAAATTTATGTTATTTTGAAAAAGATTTGCAAGATTTATTTGCAAATATCATATAGAGTTTGTGACTCCATAGGGATATCACGGAAAACAAAATTGTGTTAAACGTGTGATTTTGTGGGGATGTAGACCGAGCGAGGTCATACTGCACAAGCAAGGAATGTCAAAATTGAGAAAACTTATTCGGCAAATTTAATTTGTTTTGTTGTAAAATTCTATTATTGATTTATACAGTCATTTTTACAATATATCATGTATATATCTCAAAGATGAAAAGTACATTATGCTATTCGCATAACTAGTACATCTATGAGTACATAATATAAAGTACAAAACAAGCTGTCCTCATATCGCTGTCTGCATATTTATACATTTACATGCCTGCCAATAGAAGATCTTCTCGCAAACTGTGTTATGAGTTTCTAAACAAGCTGACCTTATAGGATGTTATTTTGAGATAGCCTAGTGGTGCAACGAGTTTATAACTCATATGGCTGCAACTTTTCAAGTTCCAGATCTGGCTGAATTCCGTATGGAGTTTTGTCGTCACTCATCCTTCTGAAAGTTATCGACACTCGACAGTGTCGGACTCCCGGAATGCAATGTTTTGCTATATCGGCTCCATTTCCTTTCAGAATCATAACGGATCCTCTTGGTAAAGAAATTTCAACAGGTCCTTGGAATTCACCTGGACCGATTATCTCTATATCTGTACTGAACAGCATACTGCTCTCCGATATGAAGGAGACCGTACAAAACAGACGAACAAAATCATGATGGTCAATATGCGGAGGGATACAATCCCCTTCTTCATAAATGTTAATTATGCAACTAATGGGGATACAATTTCCTTGATTTATGCCCCATTGAACCATCTGTGCGATCATACATTTTATCATGGGTGGCATTGGCTCCACCTGCTCATGCTGTAAAATTCCTAGAAGATTTCCTTACCGATCTATCTTATAACTATAACAGCAGCCGCATTGTATCATAATGCGACCCTTGCCTCTCATCCATTTTTTGGGTTTGGAATACGTTCTTCCGGGTAGCAATCCTGCTTTGCCTCTGATTTGGTGGTCAAACACACAATCGAGTACTTCTTGTTGCTTTGTAAGAGAAAAGACCTCTGTATATAATTCCAATCCCTCCAGAATATTAACATAGTCTCCATCGACTATTTCAAAATGTTCGAAAACATTGCATTTAACTTTATGTATTTTTGCAAGCTCGACTCCTGGATATGCTGGATAACGGGCTTCATCATTTAACCGATTATTAATGATTGGCTTCTATGTTAATGGTGGTATTATTTCCACCAGATTATACGCCTCAATTTGAGTTGGCGCATGAAAAATGTTCCATGGATAATGCTGAACTGTGTTTGTATCATCGATCGGCAAATCATCATATCTTATCAGTTCATTGGCTGATAAGTAATCATCATAATTACCATTTTGTCCCAGATGTAAGACATTGCAACCTGGGCATTCTACCAAGACTCTTGTGGGATGTCCTTGTTCAAGTGTTGCAGAATGACAAGTGGAACAAACCGAACTGGAATTGGAGTGAATCCATGCTGGTGTGGAGTGAATTGGAGTGAATCCATGCTGGTGATGATTCTGGATGCTGTACTGATTGAACTTCATCCTCTGTCAATGGCAGACTGTCAGAAGACTACTTCAAGTTGACATTATACATGTATCCTTCCGGGATCGCAAATAACTTTGCTTTTTCTTTCTGCGCTTCGGCAAGAGCTCATTGTTTTTTCCGGTCAGCATTTCTTTGCTGAGTCCTACGCAATGAGGCGAAAGGTCTTTTATGATCATTGGCAACTATCAAATTTCTTGCTTAATAAAGTCATCCTTAATTAAACTTCTAAGGACCCACCAAGATATGACATAGGGTTAGAAAAATTACCAAATTACTACTTTTCTTGCTCTTCATAAACTGCCTTAACATGTATTTTAAATTTCAGGTGGTGGAATGAGAAGACTCGCCAGGTACGCTTTTATAGTTTTCAGCATTGTCTTTCTTCTACTTTCATACCGTGTTTCTCATACTATACTTTTATACCTGTAAATTTGCGTGCTAAGCAATGATGTCACCCTACATGAAAACTAAAACTATCAGGATAGCCACATAACCAAAACCATAACCCGAAACCAAAATTAAAATCAACCAAGATAAAAC